ACTTATAACGTTTTTTTTTTTTTTTTTTTTAATATATAATAGACACACGCTTGGCCACAATCTCACCTGATGTTAAGCGACGATGTGACCGACGATGGGACGCGTTTGCCTAAAAAATGCCTATTCACTCTAGCCTTGAATAGCCCCAAATTGTACTTTTCGGGAAATACATATGCCGGTAGAGCATTCCATTCCTTTGCCGTACGCATCAGAAAGGAGGAGGCAAAGCGCTTAGTGCGAATAGGTGGAATATCAACGACATAAGAATGGAGTGCTCCGGACCTTCTAGTCGACCGAAGGAGGAACGGTGAGGGCGGAACCAAATTGAAAAGTTCCTGCGCACACTCCCCGAAATGTATCCGATAGAAAACCGACAAGCAGGCTACTTTTCTGCGATGATCGAGATTTTGGAGCTTCGACTCCACAAGAGGATTATTGTTAATAAGTCTCTTTGCTTTACGCTCCACCGAGTCCAAGGCAGCTAACTGGTATTGGGCAGAGCCGTCCCAAAGGTGGCAGCAGTACTCCATACAGGATCGAACTTGTGCTTTATACAGATTTAAAAGCTGTTCAGGTGTGAAGTACCGCCTGACCTTGAAAAGTATGCCTAGTTTTCTGGCAGCAGTTTTTGCCAAGCACTCGATGTATCGCCCAAAGTTGAGGTTGGATGATAAGTCCAGACCAAGTAGCTCAAGGTGGTCCCTTATCGGCACGGATACACCTCGGAAAGTCGGAGTAAGGTGTAGGGGACTCCGTTTTAATGAGAAAAGACACGCCTGTGTTTTAGCCGCATTAAATCTGACCCTGTTAGCATCTCCCCAGTCGGAAGCAGCTTTCAGACTCAGGTTCAACCGGGTGACCATCGCCTCTCGCTTACACCGGATCTCTTCACTGTTGTCTCGGGCGTGCCCTAAATAATTTATGGCCTCATGAAAAAAAACACATTTCTCCCTCTTCACCCGGAGACCGCTTGATGCTAACCGATCGAAAACTTTATGCAGATTATCGATATGTTCCTTAGTATTTCTACCAGTAATGATAATATCATCCAAGAAAACTCCTACGTGCGGTAAATCTGAGAATAGTTGTTCTAGTCGCTTTTGAAATATTCCCGGGCTGGACGATAGGCCGAACACTAATCGATTGTACATAAACAGTCCTTTATGAGTATTAATGACAGCGTATTTTTTTGTCTCGTCGAGTTCGAACTGAGCGTAAGCCTGTGACAGGTCAATTTTACTGAACATTTCACCTCCATGCAAACGTGCCAACAGGTCCTCCACCCTTGGAAGCGGATAACGGTCGACCTCTATTACCTTGTTCAAGGTCAATTTGAAATCAGCGCAAATCCTAATAGTACCGTCCTTCTTAACTACTGGAACAATTGGTGTAGCCCAGTCGGAGCGATCGACGGGGGTGAGGATGTTGTCGCGTACCAGCTGCTCCAGCACGCGCTCCACCGGCTCCCGCAGCGCGTACGCCAGCGGTCGCGCGCGCAGGAACACCGGCCGCGCGCCTGGCCTCACGTGGATGCCCACCTTGCCACCGGTGAACCGTCCCAGGCCGTCGGCGAATACTTCACAATATCTGGAACTGAAATCCTTGAAATTAAAACTCTCGCTGGATAAATGGTTAACCTTATCGTAACCAAATCTAGGTAACTGCACTTTCAGTTCTACCAGCCACTGTCTACCCAGTAAAGATGTTTTAGCGTCGCGTACTACATACAGATCCAAATATTTTCGTAAACCCTCATACACCACTAGCGGCCTGATCACCCCCACAGGTCGCACCAACTCCCCCGTATAATATCTAAGTATTAATCCGCAAGTATTGAGTTCCAAGTCTTTTAAATATTTCAAATAAAATTCGTGGCTTATACACGATACTGCACTGCCCGTGTCACACTCCATTTTCACATTTTTACCGTGTATATTTACTGTTAAAATTAATGGTTTGCATAGCCCTAATGATAGTTGATTAATTCCAACCACAGTTACCTCCTCACTGTCCTCACTATGTGTGGACTCGTTGTCCACTGACTCCGCCACGCCCAGGTTGTGATGCCCCGTCATGTAGGGGCAAACTCGCCGCAGGTGCCCCTGCTTGTTGCATACTCTGCACACATAGCGTGCGAACTGGCACCGCGCCACGTCATGCGGGCCGCCGCACGCGCCGCACCGCTGCTCGCGCTGGCGCTGGCCTCGCGCTGTCTGAGCGGCCGCCGCACCGCGCGCGAGCTGAGCCGCGCCCTGCGGCGCGCGCGGCGCCTGACCGCCCTTGGCCCGGCTCGCTGGCTGCCTGCTCGCCGCCCACGCTCCCTCCACCGCTTGGCACACGGCGACACTCGCTCCGCTCGCACCCTGCACGTCCGCTCGGCCCTGAACCACCGCGGCGTTCTTCTCCGCCGTCTCCATGCTGACCGCCAAACGATATGCCCTCGCGAAATCTAGGTCATCCTCGGTGAAAAGACGCTGCCGTATTGTCTCGCACCGAATACCGCACACAAACTGGTCCCTCAAACTTTCCTCTAACCAGGTCTTGAATTCACAAGTCTTAGACATTTTTTTTAATACCGCCACGTAATCGGACACTGTTTCATCACAATTCTGTTTTCGATGCCTGAACTTGTATCTTTCTGCTAGTATGCTCGGTTTAGGTTGTAAATGTTTTTCTAGAACCTTCGTTAAATTTACGAACGATTTACTTGAAGGCTTGTCCGGAGTACACAGGTCTACTAACAGTTCATAACAGTCCGCACCAATCACTGTGATCAACGTGGGCACCTTCAACTCTTCCTTAATATTATTAACAATGAAATATTGTTCGAGGCGTTCCACGTATAACCGCCAATTGTCCGACCGAATATTGAACTCGGAAATTCTACCGACCGACATTATTATTTTTTATATATATTATGATTATGACACTCACAGTTTCGTAAGTCCGTATTCTCGTCGCCACTGAGAAGTCTAGACTATCTAGCCTATACGTAAAACCTGGGTTAAGGAGCCAGTAAAACATGTGTTCGCACTACGATATTTATTTGACGACTGAGCAACAAAATACATGACCTACCCACATAGCATTTATAATAATCTTACTCTCCAATACATACATCACAGTAATTAATAATTTGTAGTGCTCTCCTGAATTGCGGCGCCCTTGCAGGGTGTCACATGTGTGACTATTGTTTTAAATTCTATAACGTCTTATGTGAAACCATGTGGCAAGCAATAAAGACATGAATATGAATAAATATCATGATGTTTTACTACCATAATATTCATATATTTTTGGTGAGAATAGTCCACTAGTTTGTTATTATTAATATTCTTTTTTTTATAATACCAAGTGACGGAAGGATTAAGTCATGCGCCTGATGGTAAGCGACACGCCTATTATAGCAGTTGCAGTGTCACTCAGAGCTTTAAATCGCAAAGATCTTAGCGGCACTGCCACTGCGCCCGTCAACCTGAGACATAAGATGACAAGTCCCATGTGCCTGTAATTTCACCAGCACCTTTACCATTCAAAACCGGAACAAATTAATAGTCACATTACTGCTTGGCGGCAGAAATAAGTAAGGTGGCTTCTTCCAGAGAATCTCTTGCACAAGGAGCTCTACTGGTACCAAAAATCGGACAATAAAAAAAAATCCTGCGATCTGATTGGCCACCGCTCTTAACCAGGTGAGCTAAAGAATACGTCAGCATTTTTACGTATTGCTCTATGGTTTGTTACAAATCTTGTTATTGGGTTTAAACGGCTTTTTTGGTATGAGGTTTCTTCATTCAGCCTTTGCACTAAAAATATCTTCCTTTAACTGCTGTTTCCAAAGGTAGAATACTTTATGTAGGGTTGAATCCTGGGGGTATCGTGTCCAGGAGACTGGCGTCACATAAGCCTCACTACACTCTAGCTGTCTGTTCAGTATCAATAGCTCAAATATGGTTGGACTCTGTGTAATAGTAAATTTTACGGGAATTATAGCCACCTGCACTTCTAGTACTAACGGACGTCAATATAAACTGTGATTTTAAATTAGGAAACTACCGTGAGCCGTAGACATATTAGTTAAAATGGCTGGAAAATACCAAAGTGGTTAGCGTGGATGAGAATTTAGAAAGTGATGTTGTTAGTGTTTGTGTACTGTGACATCCTGCGTATGACGTTCATAAGAATGAAACAAACGAGCGTAGTTGCTCGCCGCAGCTGCCTGAGTGACCGGGCTGTCAGGGCGTTGGTGTGCAGTTTCCGTCGAGTCACCGCCGCGAAATCTCCTGATTAAGGACCATGGACTATTCCGAAACATGTCAACCCATCGAGTATATTACCAGAAATAGAGACAAAATGTAATTTAATTTGTTTGAAAATTATTCTGTCAAATCATTACGGCGACAACTGCGCTCTGATTCCCCAGCCCGAATTCGAAACAATTGACTGGATTCGCCAATTATTACACTTCAAATCGACCTGTTTAACTTGAACTTTGCCATAATGGACGACAATTGAAACATGAAAATGTTTAATTACCGATTAAATATGATTCTATTTGTAATTAGATGTTTACCTGTTTTTTCCCATACCACCGACTGACACAACCCCCATGGTTAGAGAAACATATCTTTATTATAATAAATACAGAATATTTTTGGAATAGTCGGACGTACACACGGGTTAGTTGTTAGCACTGTACTATTTCAGGTTTCTGATTTGTGATTTTAGTGCAAACGAGAGTTGATATTTAAAAGTGACATAAGGCCAATTGCCTGATAAGTTGCCAGGATGGTTGACGGATGGAAGGCCCTTATTTCGTTTCTATTTCTGCTTATATACACGATGTGTCGACCTAAATATGTGAGTTACCCGTTAATTTAGTTAATGTAAAATGTAATGTAGAAAAGAAACGAACATAATATCGACATCTACATATGGACATACCCAACAGGTTTCCTGTGAACTCGTTACTTCCATTTTGAGTAATAAAATATTTAATTGAATCCAAAGAATTCGTTGTTTTGTATACTTTTTCGTCTATAAACCTTTTGTTGCAATTGCTGTACGCAGTCGAAACATAGACAAATGCCTGTAAGGAAAAATACTACTGTACATTATTTAAAGCCACATTTGAAATTACATAATATATTTGTAACATTTCTGTTTGCTACAAATTCATGATACAAAATGTTCTATCCAAGCATCTTTACCAGGTCTTGCAAGAATAAGAAACTTGATTCCATATGATTTTTTATTCGTTTTTTAGCGAATGATGCTACCATTGCCATAATCTGTGTTTTTGCCACGGAATAATAAACTAGTATGAAATGGGCGTGCCCATGTAGATATTGTTATGATATATCTATCAAAATCAACCTTTGTTGTGCGCCAACGCTCTTTTAAGCTGAACGTGTGCTTTATATGTAAATCAAAATATTAATATATTAATTAATTTTGGATTATTGTTCTGTCTTTTGTTGTCAAAATAATAGCAAAATAATAATTAAAATGTATCGGGTGAAGGCGTTTAATGATGATAATTTTAGGATGATAATTGGTAAATATTATTTTCACAAAATTAAGCATATTTATGTAACTGTTTGTCTTAATAAAATAAAAAAACATGATTAATAATTTTGTGCCTGTGAACTTGTTACTTCCATTTTGATTAATGAAATATTTAATACAAAAGCAACCATAAGGTCATCTTTCTTTCAAGTATGTTGTAGCCACTGCATAATATAAAAGTGGCTGCAGAAATAGCTATGCCTTCTTCCTACGACATTTTCAAATGGTAGTTCAAAATCAGATTATAACATTGTGTGTGAAATTACAGGCACATGGTGCGCACTGGTCGGAATTAAGAGTTTTGTTCGCTTACACAGATATTTAAAAAAAATGAAGTCCTGTTTTTCTTTCTGCAACCTGTCAAATATTCATTACCTCGTCCGCCTGCATTTTAGTGCATTATAGTAAGTCGTATAGATGTAGTGCATTCGTAATATTAACATTTAACTTAATTGTTAACTATTTTGAGCAATAAAGTTTATAAATTTCAAACGTGTTTTTCACGATCACCAACAACAAATACCACTACTTTTCAGGTTCTTGGTAAGTTTTAAGTGCAAACAGAATAAGCTGCACATTTTAAATGTATGAAAACGAAAATGCATTTTAAAATATCTCATTACTGTGTTAAGCTGTCTAGCTATATAGTTAAAACTTATTAGATGTTGTTACTAGGTCGATATGGTTAATAATAAAAAAATGTGATATGAGATAACTTTTAACCACTAAGTTAATGTATTTTCATAATTATAACAATAACGACATATATATTAGCTTAAGTTATATCATTTTACATAATGCATTTTTTTAAACGAATAATTATTCTTTTCTTTAATTCCTGTGTAAGGGAAGGTCTTAATTTTTTTTACCAGTGTGCGATGCGGTCTTGGCGCGGCCAAATACCACTACTTTTCAGGTTCTTGGTAAGTTTTAAGTGCAAACAGAATAAGCTGCACATTTTAAATGTATGAAAACGAAAATGCATTTTAAAATATCTCATTACTGTGTTAAGCTGTCTAGCTATATAGTTAAAACTTATTAGATGTTGTTACTAGGTCGATATGGTTAATAATAAAAAAATGTGATATGAGATAACTTTTAACCACTAAGTTAATGTATTTTCATAATTATAACAATAACGACATATATATTAGCTTAAGTTATATCATTTTACATAATGCATTTTTTTAATCGAATAATTATTCTTTTCTTTAATTCCTGTGTAAGGGAAGGTCTTAATTTTTTTTACCAGTGTGCGATGCGGTCTTGGCGCGGCCCGTGAAACAACGTGCATGGATAAATGGGCCGTGTTAAGCCGCTTTAAGGGACCCGAAACGTTAGTTTGTTTGAAAAAACAAATATACGCGATTGAGATCCTTTATTTCAAATATCGTAGATAACGGACAACATGAAAAACCTAAACGGGTCACTATCAGGACCTTTGTCATCCAATTATGCAGAAGCTGTAAACTTTAATTATAAAGTTTTGTTTCACTATAGCCACAACCCGGACACTCCATACAACAATCGAAAATTATTTACCTACTACTACTACATACAGTAAGGCGCTATCTGCACACGCGCAAATGTGTGCGTGAAGTGGCAGGGTTATCCATCACTGTCTTGCACTATTACGTTACGTGATCAGAGCGGCAATATAGCGAAAATGCTAACGTGAATCTGTTATCTATGATTCTATTATTAGAATCCAGAATCCAAATAATTACACATGTCAATTATGTATTTATATCATATTATCGATATAATATCATATTTTTCAATAATTCACTAACTAGAGTAGTATTGTAGATTTATTTAAAAAAATATATTAAAAGCCCTTAAAATGTTATATTTTGGACATGTACTTCTATATAAGGTAACCAAGGCATTTGAAATTGCGTGTCCAAGTTGATCATCATTATTTAGTTAATAATTAGGTATATTCACTACTTACATTACATATATTACTATTTATATTATATATTACTCTGCAGTAAATAAATGAAGAAAACATTTATGTTTTCTTCATTCATGGGACTCATTCACATAAGTAATTCACTTATGTGAATGAGTCCCAGACATAAGTTTTTTGCTTACTTCGTTTCATCTTTCGGAAAATGATGATAACAGCCGTATGTAGCACAATTCACGATCATTATAAATAGTAACGTAAAATTGATGTTTTATATTAACGTACAAGTTTCGTAATGAATGAATGAAAACTATATTCAAATATCAAAGCCGTCTTCGCGCAAAAATGGCTCGCCGGCAGCCTTGTTGTCGTTCAATCAATGTGACCGGCAATGTGCGGGGCGTGGTACGGTATCTAAAGCTAGGGAGGGGCGGAGAGTATCCGTTCTCTTTACTTTTTGTTCTCTGCTATAGCTTTAAACTTCGTAAAGAGCATCTTTTAAATATCAACCGGGGTATTTTTAAGTTTATAACGTGCATTATCACGTATTTTAGTATGACGTCACTTGATATTGACAGGAGGAACTCATTATTTGATTTTTAATTCGAGACTTAATCACGTATAAAAACATATTTAATTACCTCGACGTTTCGGACGTATTGCAACGTCTCTGGTCTCGAAGGGAAGGAGAAACACGCCGTGAGACTAATGGTAAGCTACACGCCTACCCACAACAGTCCCGTTGCAGTGCCACTCAGAGCTGTATATTGCAAAGATTGAATAAATTGCGAAGATGGAGGTGCCCCTCAGATCTTTGTTATTTAAAGCTCTGAGAGCCGCTGCAACTGTTATGAACAAACGTATCGCTTACCACCAGGCGCATGAGGTGTACGTGCCGTCACTTGGTGTCATAAAAAAAAAAGATCTGCGGGGCACTGCCACTGCGGTCGACACCCTGTAATTTCACCAGCACCACAGACCAAATAAAGCACCCTTAGGCGATTAACACACTGCACCGCGCGCCACAACGAGGTGCGGAGCTGCGTTTTTTAACGTTGTACTGAAGTACCTCAGTTTGTATGGAAAACACGCGTCGTCGAACACACTGACAACGCTACTCGCGCGCGCGCGGTTTAAACCGTGCCCCCGCGCGGAGGGGCGCGGCGAACCGCAGGGTGTGGCACACTGCGCTCCGCACTACCGCGCAGATTTTTAATCAATTTGTGTCTATTCCAGTAATTGTCGTTCGAATGTTTCCTAACAAATAATCAAAGGATTCAGTTGACATTCGTGTGTACTTGAAAAATTAATCTTCATATTTTAACTGCCTCCGTGGCCGAATGGTTACCATGCGGGACTGCCACGTAGAGGTCCCAGGTTCGATTCCCGGGCCGGGAGAAATATTTGTATGGCCTACATTTATTTCTCTCGTGAGTTTGGGTGTAATTTGTGGTTGTCTATGTGTGTGTCCATGGCACCCGCGACACAGGGTTTCCCTAGTGCAGGGCTATGTTGACTGTGAGCGTTATTATTATTATTATTATTATTATTCTTAAATCTTTGTAATGAAGTTGAATGTTATCTTCGGTGTCTTTTTATTTGAGTAAACAGAAACAATCGACAGTGTAACTGCAGCGTCCTGAATACGGTGCAGTGTGTTAATCGCCTTACCCCCTCAAAGCCGGAACGCAGTAATGCTTACATTACTGCTTGGCGGCAGAGTGAGTGTATGACTGTGCGCGTTATATTTTTTATTAGAAGTAGGTATAATTACATATTATTATTAGAAGTAGGTATAATTGCAATACTTCCCTAGACGAAGTCGTTGACAAGGAGTTTTTTTTATTTGTTTATCCTTACAATGACATTTTTACAAATAAGGTAAGGCTCTCCCAAAGTTCATAAAAGTTTATCGAGAGAGTTTGGTTGCTACGCTTAATATTACAATCACATAATCATTACATTTAGTTACCACCATTACAGTTTTTCAATATTTACCAACATTGTATCTAACAAATATATTTTTATTTAATTTTTAACAGATTTTTTACTACCTTTAAGGTTTTTTAAGAGGACGACACTTAAATTCTACTCCTGCTTAAAGAATTTACGATTTTGTGAAGACGACTGTCATCGTATTCGTAAGAAATATAAAAATCGTAACATGTGGCGGTTGCTCTAAGCAAACGCTACGATGTTGTGTTACTTTAGGAATAAAGTTCTCTCCAGTCTATGAACTATAATTATATTGCAAAGTTTAATGAAAAATTTTCTACGAGAAAAGTTACAAGTCGCCTTTTCAGTTGCGCTAGTCCTTCGACCACGTCTGAGTTTTATTAAAAATATTTTTATTTTTACACAAAAAGACTGAGAAGCGATTTCTCACCACATCCAGATTGTGACTATTCATGTAGTCTTCAACATCATTAACCTATTTATGAGTCCCACTATCGGGCACGGGTCTCCTCTCAGCCGAGGGTTTAGGTTCACACATTTTCTTTTTTCTTGTTCAAACTAAATTTCGCACATAATCAGAATTTATGTATAAAATTTAGTTAGGTACACGGCCATTGCTTCAGAGGCGATGCAGATGGGTCAACACCATTAGACCGCTTACACAAGGCGACTTTTAGCAACGATGCAAACGCGATACAGTAGCGATGCAGTCGCTAATCGTCTATCTGTACACACGCGTGCGATTTTAAGCAGCGATACAAACGCGCGATTGCATCGCTACACTTGCGATTTATAGGCTATTATATCGATGCAAACGCGCGTTTGTTTTGTTTCACGGACGTGCGTTTGTAACCACAGGTACCAAGGCTTCGTGAATGATAGTTGTCTTCACAGACGGGATATAGTTTTAAAAAGGAGGAACTGACATAATTATGATGCCGCTGAATGAAGAAATACGCTCTTGTAGTCTGTAGTGTGTAATTTTGCCTTCACAGCTTTCGACGACATAAATAGGATTTTTTTATTTAAAAGTTGTATTTTTTACTTTTGTAAACAAAGAAGCAGTGATCATCTATGTTACTCATATAGGGTACCTCAGTATTGGTCTCATTTAAATTTGAGGAAAATATTCCACCCCTAAGAGTTGCAAACTAGGGGATGAACTCGGTTTTAGCGACTTTCCGGTAACCGATGGCAATAAAACTTGGCAAACAGATGTAATTTTTCGAACTTTTGAGTTTTTCAGTTTCCTATTTTATAAAAACTTACAATTATCTTCAGGCAACAAATTAAAGTCGTGAGAATTGATGACAAATGGCATTTATAAATGATACGATAACATGTTAATAATGTATACATATACATTTTCGTTTAATATGCATAACTACTACTTCTTTAAGTTTTTATTAGATTATATATAAAGATAATAATAATAAGTAACGTTAGAAAGTTGTCATTTAAACTTTAGTGAGTACTTTATGAGGGAGCAGAGGAAAAATTCCCAATCTTCGATTAGATTTTAGAGGGGTATATCCACTTTAAAGTTAAAAATAAAATATTGTATGAGTAACTACACCATATATTCAAGCATAGACACTAATCAGAAACATAAAACAATAAAGTTTCCTCGATAGATAAAAATCACGAAATGACCTCTAATTTTCACATTTTCTCGATTCATCCTCGAAATGCTACAGGTTATTAGGACAAAAATTAGATAATTAATTATATTTATGCATGATCGAGAACTGTCACTACGGATTTTTTTTTAATCCCTTTAGTTTTAGAGTTATTCCGCTAAAACGAATTTGGTACTTTTAATGCGCAAAATTCAACATCTCCTGTCGCATGCCACGCAACACATTTGGGCGGAGCCAACGTCAAAACTTTTTTGGCACGGTTCCTCTTAAGTAGAAAAACGTAATAATTTCATAATTTTGTGAATATGTTTGCGAATTACGATATTTATTAATTTGCTTTGCTTACAAAATGACAGAACTAATTGGCGCATGATGATGGCCAAAATTCCTTCCGTCTATTAGTCAAAAGGAAAGATTGCAAAGAACAGAAGAGTATTTTAATGGACACTACTGTACCTATTGACTGAAGACAAAAGTTATATTAAAAAAAGACATGGCGTATGCCTGAAAATGGAAAAGAGATAAGAAATGGATTTAAAAAAAAAGACTAGGTAGCATAGTCTATAGATCTTTGCCTTTCCGCAAGGAAAAAGGAATAAAAATGTATTTTTTTTTCTATTTATACTTCGTTTTGTTTAGTATAATAATAAACTTATACTTCGTTTTGTTTACTAAGTACAAATTGACAGTGCTAGAACACTACGTATGGCTGTGTTAACACGTTGAGTAAGATTGAAAGGTCCTGGGATCTTTCATTTGAGTCTGACATTTGAGACTGAAGAAAAATAAAGAAAAACACAAGTTTACCTGCAGCTGTTTTATGCCTTTGCAGAAGGTTATCATTTTCTCAGTAGCTCGAGTGTTGTTATCAAATGCCTCGATAAAAGGTACGTTAAAATTTACATTCGCAGCGCTGTGAAATACTATTGAGACCTGAAATAATAATAACACGTATATTTTTATACGATAACATTTTTAAATCAATAGAGTTCAAAAATAATAATTTTCCTTTATTTATCTCCATAATACAAAACAAAGGAACATTGCAATAGAGATACATATTACATTTATTAAATAGCATATTACATTATGCTTAGATAATATATTGTGGGCGCCTGGAGCCCAAGTTAAGCCATAGCTTGTAATATGGGTCTCCAGGCAGCCAACCCCTATGTATGTCATGTTAGTGATATTGACTGTAAAAGTATAGAAGAAATATGTAATTAAAAGTAAGTAAAACAAAGTAATATTATATGTC